GATTAGGACCCTGGGCAATGCATTTTCTTGGGCCCCATGGGCCCTGTCCCTGCCTCACCCCCCAATTACGTCCAACCCGCAATCACACTGACAGACGTACTGGCACATACACACACAGACAGACATTAAAACATTCACAGATACATACTGACACACACAGTCACTACACACAAATATATACTGGCAGACATACTGACACACACACAGACATACATACATACATTAACAGATATACTGACACGCACACAAACACATACACTGACAGATATACTAAAACACACAGACACATACACTGACAGACACATTGACACACACACAGGCATACTGACATACACACTGACACAGACACACACACGCATACTGACATATACACAGACAGACGTAATGACTGATACAGACAGACATTAAAACATTCACAGATATATACTGACACACACATACACTGACATACAAATATATCCTGGCAGACATACGGGGACACACACACACACAGACATACATACATACATACACACACAGACACATACACTGAAAGACATACTGACTGACACACACATACACACACAGACATGCTTACATACACACACAGACATAATGACACACAAAGACATGCTGACACACACATACAGACATACTGACATACACACAGACAGACGTACTGGCACATACACACAGACAGACATTAAAACATTCACAGATACATACTGACACACACATACACTGACACACAAATATATCCTGGCAGACATACTGACACACACGTACACACACACACAGAGACATACCTACATACACACACACTGACATACTGGCATACACACAGACATACTGACACACACACACACACTGACATACTGACACACACACACACACACACTGACATATACACACAGACATACTGACACAGACATACTGACACACACACAGACATACTGACATACACACAGACATACTGACATACACACAGACATACTGACATACACACAGACATGCTGACACACAAAGACATGCTGACACACACATACAGACATACTGACATACACACAGACAGACGTACTGGCACATACACACAGACAGACATTAAAACATTCACAGATACATACTGACACACACATACACTGACACACAAATATATCCTGGCAGACATACTGACACACACGTACACACACACAGAGACATACTGGCATACACACACACACAGACATACTGGCATACACACACACACACATACTGACACATACACACACAGACATACTGGCATACACACAGACATACTGACACACACACACAGACATACTGACACACACACACAGACATACTGACACACACACACAGACATACTGGCATACACACACACACACATACTGACACATACACACACAGACATACTGGCATACACACAGACACACACAGACATACACACACACACACACACAGACCTACTGACATACATTTAGCCACCCTCCAGGTTCTTACCTTTTCCTGGAGGGTGGTTTCCCTGGTCCAGTGGCAGGCTGAGGCAGATGGGAGTTCTCCTCTGGAACTCCCCTCCTCCCTGCCTTCCTCCTCCCGCGCGGCTATCTCCGATGGGAGGAAGTGATGTCACTTCCTCCCAGCCAGCTGGAGAACCGGAAGAGGGGCCCGGTCGCGCTGTTTAAGCGCCACAGCGCCCGACCGGGCCCCTGCTGACACATGCTCCCCGGGTGGCCCTTAGTGCATGGGCCACCCGGGGAGCCTCCCGGTCCATAGGGCTGCGCAAATCGCGGGGCCCACAGAGCAGCTGCTCTGGGCCCCCAGGAGCAACTGGGCCCGGGGCAGCTGCCCCGTTTGCCCCGCGTTAAAGACGGCCCTGGCCCCAGGAAGCACCTCCAGTGGCCATCTGAGTAGTGGCCCCTGGAGGTGTCCCTATGGGAAAATGTAAACGCTGCCTTTTCAATGAAAAGACAGTGTTTACAGCAAAAAGCCTGAAGGGAATGATTCTACTCACCAGAACAAATACATTAAGTTGGAGTTGTTCTGG